AAAAAAAAAAATTGATGCATTTTTTCAAAATATACTAACCAAAGTTAAACTTTAATCGTTGTTTTTTTTTTTTCTTTTGCTGTTAAAACATCAGTTTGGAGTAACTGAGAGAGAAATAGACATCAAACTTCTTTTTTTTTCTTTTATGTTAATAGATCTCTTCGATGATATACAAATAAGGAAACGATTATTTGGTTGCCTAATCATTATAACATAGATTTGACCTGTATGCAAGAAAATATACTTTACTTTACTTACAAATTTTCTGATAACACGATTTTCCTGGAACAGAAAAGCAGAATTTATAAAGTGTGGAAACACTGCTTAGTTTGGTCTACTCAATTTAGGGTAGTTCAGGGAAACCGATTGCCTCTAGCCGCCTGTCGCTACTACTTTAGGCTAAACAAAACGATGATTTTTCAACAATGTTGCAAACATTGTTGCAAACATCGGCAAAAGAAGAAGCAAAAGATATAGAAATTTCCGTTGCTTAACAGACGAAAAGAAATGAGCAACTGATTAACTTAAAAGACCGATTTGTTTTTGTTCGTCTACTAAGCTATTAACCGCCAAGCTATGAATATGGTTTGATAACTTTCCTGTTCTTTTTTCATTTTTATTTTCAGTCTTATTTATTGGTTTTTTGAACTAAAAACTGCAAAATAGATGCTTCTAAATTATGCCACAACAAACTCATATTCTTAATTTTAATTTTACATTTTCGTTGCTTTTTTTTTTACAATATTTTCGTTTAATTTTTTGTTTAACAAAGGCAAAGGCTTAGAAAAACCGATAATGCTTCAAAGTAATAGCCTTTTTTGTTTTTCCAAATTGTAAAGAAAAACTGAATAATTTTATGATACGACAAAAAAACTTCAAACAAAGAAAAAAAAAACATAGATGAGGGTATGAAACATTTCGTTAGTGTATTTTAAAATAAGTTAGGACTGTTAGCTGTTACTAATAGTATAAAAAAAATTTGCATTATTAAGATCTCAGTCTCAACAAGTTAAGCTTAAACTCACAACCTAATTATATACATTTTTAATTTTACAGTCACTGTGAACTTTGAAACGGGCCGACAGCAGCATTCGCTGATGTTGGAAACTGGAAACCCTCTATGGTCATTAAATTCGTATTATTCGTCACTGTTTTATCTTTTCTTACAGTGGTCACTTTAATACCTTTTTTTTTTTCTTTTTTTTTTAACAAATGCAGTCTATTTATCGACTTACAGATCTTAAGTAAAAAACTTTATTCTCAAGTTTTATTTAAAATTTCCCCGCTTGTATATTTTCTCTGAAAATAGTTTTCGCATAACGAAAGTTTCAAAAAGTGTACAGTTTACTGGTTTTAATGATTACTTTACACACTATGCCATGTATCCAGTTAAAGCAGTGCATTTTTTCTTTTGTTAAAATACAATAAAACAGTAATTCGTTATCGATATGTATATTAAAGCCTAATTATTTTCAACCATAAAATAGTAAATAAAAAGCAAAGGAAGGATTTCTTATAGTAACTGTCAACCACAAAGAAGGTTTAATAAAAGCATGATCAATTTTATATAATTTGTGAAATAAAGAAATCATCAACAGAAATTTCAAAAAAAATAAATTAGCAACTAAACATTTAAAAATGTTTGCAACTTTACGCTTACAGTAAACAGAACAAAATAAAGAGAAAGAAAAAATAGAATCAGCTTATGTATTTAAAAACCAAAAAAGAAAAAAAAAAGTGAAAAAAAAGTTTGAAATGTTTTCATATGATGTCGATTTTGCTAAAACTGGTTGTCAGTCAGATTTAATTAGATAGGTGTATAGACTGCGCTTATACTGCCGACGTATTTGTCCGTCTATCAGCAGTTAATGGTTTTTCGTTTATTTAGTTTGCATACATTTAATCCTATGTTTTTTGTTTCCTATTTGAGCCCAACCGCCATAATTATAGGGGTGAAATTGTGGGAGACCAACATCAGAAGAAGGTTGTTGTTACTGGTCTGATACTGACTGGTTAAAGATTACAGGTCACAAGAAACAGGGAAGAAAAAAACACTGTTGTCGTCGACTGAAAATAATCGTAATACAAAAAAAAAAAAAAGAACGCAGCTGTTTTGCTGTTGTTTTTTCAAGCAAATAACCAAAAGAGAGATTTGAAGATTCGTAAAACATTCTTTTAAGTATAAATAAGAAAAAATAAGCGGTTTATTATTGCATTTATAATTGAAGATTTGTTTTTTTCAACTTTTTTTTCTTTCTTCTGAATTACTATAGATAGTACTGCAGAAAAGAAAAAGGAAAGAAAGCATACCAAAAAAATATAGGCTGAAATGCTAAAAACAAAAAATAATGATGATGAGGGATATCCGTCACATCTGATTTTTTTTTTGCTTTTTTTTTCTTTTTTTCTTTTTTTTTTTTTTGTTTCTTTCCACTTCTCATTTTAACATATTTATCCAAAACAGAAAAGAGGAAAAAAAACTATATTTAGCATAAATAGTGATGCATTTCAATTTTAAAGACGTTGAAGTGGCTTAAAGATATTAATATTATGGGTTTAAAAGTTTTTTCCTCCTTTTTTTTCTCTCTAGATAGAACAAAAAATTTAAGAGAACATTTCACGAAATTTTCGAGTGGAAAAAAAAACGAAAAAAATAAAATATTCTGCCTTCTGTTGCGAAAAATTCCAAAAGAAAAAAGTGAACAAAATTGGAAAACTGGAGAGAAAGGTAAAGGCAGAGGAAGGAGGGGAGAAGGTAACAAGGAGGGTACTGAAGAGGAGGTGGGCATAGAGGGACTAAAGAAAGTGAAAAATAAGAAGAAGAAGAAGAAAAAGAAGAAGAAAGAGAAGAAGGAGAAGAAGAAGAGAAGAATGGAGGTTAAAATGAATCTGATTTGGTTACTATTCTTCGTTCAAATTTGGCTTGTTTAACTAAAATTTTTCTAAAAGCTGGTTTTTTTTGTGCAGCTTCGATCAATGTAAATATGTTACTGGCAAATCGTTTAAGTGAATTTATTTGTTTTTTTTATTTGTTTTTGCTTTTGTTTTTGTTGTTGTTGTTTTTCTTCTTGAAAAATATTAACGTTTATGGTTAAGACAAATATAGAAGTACATTTGAACGAACATTATTAAATGGCTGAAAAACTCAGGTTGAAATCTGGGTGAGGGAGAGATAAGGAAAAAATGAGACAGAAACAAATAACAGTGAACGGATATTTTGCAACAGGGGTTCCTTATTGTAAATTTTGAATATTTAAAGCAATAAATAAATAAAAAATAAAAATAAATGAATAAGTATTAAATATAAATTAAAGTAAAAAAAAAGTAACCAGAAAAGTTTTTTTCAAAAGAATTCCCAAAGGATGAAATGTTGTTGTAACTAATGCAGAAAAAACGATGTCAATTCAATTAGGTGCTTTAGAATAATAGTTTGTAAGTCGTTGCTTTTGGTTGCTGGTATTGCCGCATCTCAACCCTAAACCATCACATCCCCAGCCCAACCCCAACCCAACCCATCCCATCCCATCTCATCTCCTCTCATTTCGTCTTGTCTCATCTCATCTCATCTCGTCTCATCTCATTCCATCTCTTCTCATCTCATCTCATTTTATTCTAAGTAAGCATCTAACTATATATCGTTAAAGTCAGCAATAGCAGTAGCAGCATCGCCGGTATCAGCAGTACCAGCAGCACTTCATGTGTTAAATAAGTCTATTTCCTTGACCATTAAGAAGATGTTGATTAGTGAGTGCTTCCTTATAACCAAATAAATGTGGGAGTTCAATTCAGTTGGCTTATATCGGGCAGTCGGAAAGGCAATTTTTTTTTGTTTTTTAAGTGTTGTTAGCAGTTTTTCGCTGGGAA